TTCCGAACGTAAACATTGAATTCACGCCAAAAACAAAACAACCTCAATTAAATAAAAATTTCTGTTAAAAAAAACACAATTTATTCGTATTCCCAATAAAAATATTTCACATTTAACAGCAGAACTCCTCTCGAGCATACAAACGAGGCAAACTTAATAGCTAGCCGGCTGATAACAAATCAGCCGGTTTAAGGGAAAGCAGAAGAGACGCGTCCGAAGGGGAAAAAGCCAGCAACAAATCGGAGTCTGAATATTTCAGCGCATGCCCGCGATCGATTATCAGAGGAATGCACATTTCTCAGGAGGTTGGGGCTAATTATTTCGCGGAATAACGAATGCCGTCATCCCCGGATATCGGTGACTTAATATCAGAATTAGATTCTTGCAAATCTAAGGGAGAGGCTTCCTAAGAACGAATCAACGACCAGATATCCCGTAGCTGGCAGCCACTTAGCTTCAGGTAACCTAATATGTCGTCAGGACGACTGGAACGTGCTGGAACGGAATGAAACGAAACAGAAAAGCCGAGTTCTAGCACCGTTTGCATCTGCTGCAAGATTAATCTACGACGAACAGCGACGTAGCGATATTTACCAGGCTGATACTTGGTTCAGGGAATTTGAAAATTTTCAGTTTTACTGCGAATGGACAGAGATCGAAGGAGTTATGCAGGGATGTATTGATTATTGACCTTGAGTTAGGTCTGGTGACAAACGCTGTAATTATCGTAATTTTTTTAATTGTCTTAATTTATCTCACCTCATCAAGGTAAAATTTATCAATGAAACTTTCTTTTATCTCACCTCATCAACGTTAAATTCTCCCTTATCCTTAAATTTGTCGACGAGATTTTTGCGGTTCGAGGCTTTGAGATAGTGCAGACGGAAAGTGAGAATTGTAAATTTTTAAAATTTCATAAAATTGAATTATAACGAAAAATTTTTTAAAATTAAATTTTATGAATTGAAATTCCATAAAAATTTAGCAAGCTAATGTACGGTAACGTGATGATTCTAATGAAGGGTTCGAATGGAATTTTTTGGAGATTTCGTTGCTTGGAGTATGCATTTCTACACAAATATTGTCATATTTGTCTCTATAATTATCATTTGCAATTTGCATGAAATGATATTTAAAACTGAGTGTTCTTTTTCCAAAGAAAACTCGAAGAAAAAGTTGCTCCATGACTTTTCAATTTTTTGAAATAAAAAATGTGTCAAGAAAATATTTCTCTCAACAATCCCCTACGTTTCGATCGTATATGGTATCTGAAGTAAGATAATTTTCATTCTTCCACAAATAAACACGGAATATTCAGAGAAATTGAGAAAATTGAAAAAAAAAATCATAAAATCGTATTTTCGATTCGTAACAGAGAAAAATGAAATGCTTTCCAATAAACAGAAATTCTTCAATGCATCATAGAGATATTCTTGTAAAAAGCCGGCTAGGAGCAGGTGTCACTGTAGAGAATTCTCAGCGAGTACACCTTGGATTTTTCTTTCTCGATTTTACGAATGGAATGAACCCGTTAGCCGTATCGGTCTGCCATAACCCTTAAACGGAAGTTGTCCTTCGCTTCCTATCCCTTAACTCGCGAACGTTGCCGAAGGCGCGTAGGATATGTCGATACCGGCAAATCAAGAAATCTTTCAACATTTATAATTCAGTTTCTCAATAGCATTGCCGAGAAGCAATTGCAAAATTACGAATTGCCTTTCGAGCATATTTTGGCAATATTATAAAACATCGTTAATGTACATTTAGTTTGAGTTATTGTTAATTATCGTGAATTATTAATCGTTACAATTGCAAGGTTTAAAATTAGATTTTATTTATATTATACGTGGAATAAATAATAAATGTAATTTTTTTGCAAAGAGAAAATAAGTATAATTACTTCTAGTGTTGCTTCTATTTTTTTCTCTGCTTTCGATTGCTTCGCAATTTTTCATATGTTACGAAATTTGAAGAAAGTAATATTCTTATTTTGCGGATTGTAGTCCATTTGAGAGACATTGAAATATTGGAGCAATCGGTGATCATTTTTAATGTTTTTAAGTAACTGAAATAGTGAAAAACTCGAAAGAGCAATGGACCTAAATCTTTATTGTGAAATACAAAATAATTGCCAACTATGGTCGCTAATAACCAAGATGTTGATGTGAACTTAAATTGTATTAAAAGAAGAAATATGGTATTTCCTAAATCCGTTTAAATCCATAATTTATTCAAAAATATCCGAAGAGAATTACAAAAGAAATCACTCAACAGTTCTGCAAAATTCCCCCCAAAATGGTAACCAACATATTATCTTAATTAAGCGAATATTCACACTCTAAACGATCTAAAAAAGCAGGAAGATATCTCAGTTTATCATTTTAAAGGTTGTAAAGCCACCAAACAGCGAACTTTTGCCTAACAGTTCCAATGTGAATCATGCCAGTGATTATGAAAGTGGTCTAATTCACACATTTTTCGCTTAGCTATTTCAAATTTCCCTCTGAGTGTATTGAAAAATATTTTATCACTGTGTAATAAAATATTTCAGGAAATTTTCCACGAAAATTCCCTCTTTTTCAATTTCTCACTCAGACTACACTTTCACAATCACCATCATAAAATGTCACTTGCATTCCAACAAGCCTACCCTCGAACATTCTCCATCGGCTCATTTAAATCATCCCATTGATCCACATTCGTCGTTGCACATGCAACCACGCTAATTAAAAGCAACGATCCGCCAATCGTTCCGGATCAACCGAGCAATTCCTAATGGAGGCAATTATGAATTATCGAGCAACGAATGTACGTCGTTACGATTATCACGGCCCAATTATTTCGCCGGTGCTCATTAAGGCTACGTCAATTAAGCACGCGTTCGCGATCCAACCGACACCGACCTTCCCTGAAGATCTTCAGGTGGTGTCCCGCAAGAAATGCCGAACCTACGTCCACGCAGGTCCGTAGGTAGAACGACCTTACGGTTTTCTGTATTAGGTAGAGCCCGCTTCTTGCATCGTCCACGGTTCCCGGTATATCCAACAGACAGGCCAGCCACGCCACTCTGCAGGGTGTACACCTCGAGGAGTTCCTCGTCGACGACGACGACGAGGAGAACTTCGGTCGAGCACCCGAAGAAGTGACTGACCTCCGAGAGACCTGTGCAAGATACATGTCGCTTCCTCGTACGCACGGGGAATCAGAGATACCGATACAGAGAGAGGGAACATGACTACTTGCCGGAGATCGAGGGATTTGTCGATCGAGGACACGGGATAGACGTGACCTTGAAGGCATAGATACGGTCTTAGTGATGGTAGGGATGCTGGTTTGAGGTTAGGTTAGAGGGAAATTTAACGAGTATTATATACTGATAACGAGTGATTCTTTTTTGCTAAATTTTTTGAGATTGTGTTAATTAGAAGGAATTGTTTTGGTTAAGTTTTTTTGGGAGGGGACTATAAGTTGTCAAATTTTTGAATGTGAGGTTACTTGGTTGGAAGAAATTATTTTTATTAAGATTTCTTTGTAGTTTCGCGTAAATTTATATTTTAGAGCGACTCTAAGACGCCAAATTTTTTGGGGGATGGAGTTAATCGGGAGAAATTATTTTAATTAAGATTGCTTTGTAATTCGTGTATAAATATTATGTTTTAGAGAGACACTAGGTTGCTAAATTTTTTGAGGATGGAGTTAATTAGGATAAATCATTTTAATTAAGATTTCTTTGTAATTCCTGCATAAATTCGAATTTTAGAGCGACTTTATGCTGCTAAATTTTTTGGGGATGGAGTTAATTAGAGCAAATCATTTTAATTAAGATTTCTTTGTAATTCCTGCATAAATTTAAATTTCAGAGCGAGTCTAAGTCGCCAAATTTTTTGGACGTGAAGTTAATTAAAAGAAACTATTTCAATTAAGACATTTTTCTAATTCTTGAAATTATTTTTAAAGGTTTTTTTAATTAGATTTAAAACACTGTTGAAAATTAAAATTTAATCATTTAGGTCACGAATGTTCACTCTAAAATGATTCGATGCAGACATCCTTTTCACGAGTATGATTTAAAATAGTGGTGAGTTAGTCTTCAGCCAGATTTACATGTTGTTCAAGGCAAGCAAACGTTACATTTCGAAAATAGCCACTGTTAGTATCGCGCGAAGGAGAGCACAATGTTATTGGCTAAAGACTACTGCGATCTCCGTTTGTATAATATTTCAAGGCTTTAATTCTCAACCAAGTTCAGTATCAAAGAGGCAAAAATTTCGGAGATGTAAAAACAACGTTCAAATTTAGAATATCAATAAACTTTTAACAACAAAACTATTCCTTCATAAATTCAAATTAACAAAACTCCCACTTTCTGTACAAAAAGAAGTAGCCCTCAATTTCCAAATAACTAAATTCCAACGTTTTAAAAATAATTGTAATGAAATATAAGAATATTTTCAATGCAAATACACAGCGAAACTTTTAATTATCGTACGATTTTTCCTAGGAAAGAAACACTTGCAAACACAAGAAATTTTTTCCAACTTTCGAAAATATCTTCCTTCGATAAATTAAACAAAGTATTAAACAATGTACTCTATATATTTATCAAAAACATTTCCTTAAAGAAAGAAGTATCAATTCCTCAATTCCTAAACATCAAAAAGAACCTAAAACTTAATTCCAACTAATATTTCTAATATTTTACATAAAAACAAATTCATCCTGCATAACGAAAATTAATTTTTTATCTGAAAAAGAAAAGAGCGAAATATAACGAGAAATAATAGCCCCATGTACATACGAGGGAAGTGGATGTAATAGATGGCAAGACTATCGAGTACAACTCTAATTGGACAAGATCGAGGCAAGATCGAGCATACGATCGCGCTAATTATCGATCAAAGAGAAGTGTCCGGGGCGAGCAGCGTCGACTATGGCAGAGGGCCGACTAATTGGACGTAGCGTCGAGCATGATCGTGCGTATGTAGTCTGTGAAAACGTTTCCCTATCAACTGAGGATACTTCTGAAAGCACGGCGTTAATAAGAAGAAGGGACGAGATACTCTTGTCGTGTAAAGTAACAGAGAGCCATTTACTTTTCAACTTGGAAAATTAATTTACCTTTTTTTCGTTTCTTCTCGTTTCAATAACAAATTGTGCAATTTTCGGTGTTTAAATTGAATGTTGAAAATTAATTTTAATAACATGTGTCGTTTCAAATACAAAATATATACAATGTTGTAGAATTTTTAGGAGAATCTGTTTTTTAAATTATGTAGTAAGATTAATGTGATGCTGATGCTTGCAAAATACATACAAAATTGTAGAATCTTCGTGAGGATCTCTTTACTTTAAATAGTATAAATATAGGTCGAGAGAAATAATATTAGATATTTTTGTTTACATAATGAGTATTTTAAATGTACTTGTAGTTTGCAACATTTTCTGTCTAAATTCTGAACAAATTTATTGAAATACACAAGTCTAAGGAATACTAAGAAATATATTTTTCAAATGAGAAATTTCTTATTTCTTAATTCACGATTCGGTATTTTTCAGTATTTTTGTTTGCATAATGAACATTTCCGGAAGATCATTTTGAATACTAGTTTTCGATATTTTCTGTTTAACTGAAACAGTTTTTACGATTTCAATTAAAATTAGAAATAAGTTTTCTAAATAAGAAATTTCTCCTTTCCTAATTCAATCATTCCTTCACTAATCAGATTTGCCCAGAATATTCCAAATTATTGACGAAAAACTCAATTTTCCAAGCAACCAATTTCTCGTTTCTCGATTCCCTATTCACTCACCAATCCAAACATACCCAAAACATCTCAAATCATTCATACACTCCATCTGCAACTTCATCCTCCGACAAACACCCAAAAAAACATTACACTCAATCTCATCGAGCAATCTCACCAAACGCAACTACAAATCGGCAAATAAACTCTGCAAACCATTCCTTTCGAGCAATCTTCCATTCTCTTCCGTAAAACTACCCCCCGATAACCCGCCTCTATAATCATACCGGAGGAAAAGCATTAAGAAAAGAGACGAATAAAAACCGGCAAATCTACGTGTCTGAATCAACGTTTTATCACGACCTTACGCGGCGTTCGCGATCGCCTCGACTCGGTCTGCTCGAGATAAGAGAGAATCGGTACCAGTGATTTCCTGCCGATTGCTTTCGAACAGTCAATTACTTTGGCGCGGGCAAATTACGGGTCCGGAATCGTGCTCGATCCGCGAGATACGATCGTTACGAGGTGTGTAAGCACGTCTAATTCACGGCAGCATGATATCCCACTAATTTGCATCGAAGCATTAGCGCGCTCGATTCCCCCGGCTCGGGCGTTCTCCGTTGAAACGGAAGATCGTATCGCACGCGTGCGCGCACTCTCACACGTGATTATTAATTTGAATAGCCTCTCTGCGTGGAAATTTATGCACGCTCGTGGCTTCGTTTAGCGAACTCCCTTTTCCCCCTCGTTGCTTCTTTCGCTGAGAATTGAGTCGTTACCGATTTCATTCTTTCAACTGTGAATTTGTTCCTGTTTTTTTCTTTTAAGGGTTTAGGAAGACGGTGATGATTATGGTGGTGGCTCGAGTGCTTCCTTGATCGAGTGATAAGGTGTATATAATTTACGAAGGTATTCGATGAAATGACCTTTTTGTTTGACCGGTGAGATCAGATGGTTGTATGGATCGTAAAATTGCGAGAAAGTGTGATAACAGTGTGAGAATCTTTACAAAAAATTGAGAGTCTGGAAAAGAATTGGAAAGGAAAATCTGTCGTGTCGTACTCAATATGAAGAAACTGTATGATCATTTTTAAATGTTTATTATTCAATAAAAAATTCCTGTTTATGTCGGAAGATTGTAAATTTAGCTGATCAGATGCACTGTTGCACTCGATAAAAAAAAAGTACATTTTATTAGAATTTATTGTGCTTTGCATAATTTTAACAGAGAAAGCAGCAGATACATAATAGTTTTGTTTTATTTCGAATTTACATTCGAAAAGGCTCAATATGGAACGTAAAAAGACGAAAAATAATAATTAATGTGTGCTTTAATCTGCAATTTATCAGTTTATGCCTTAATTGAAGTCTAAAATACAATATTTTTGTTCTCAGACAATTTGTTCTGTTGAAAATAAGAATGCCATATAACAGAAGTTCATAATTTATTTCACACGTATCAAATCAATTCTCCCACGCGATAAATCAGTGAAGTAAACATTTTTGGACTTCATTTATTTGCCTGATACGTACGGAATAAATTTTAGGCTCCTCTTTTGAAAAGAAAAAATTGTTTCGATGCAGCTCCTTTATTCCGAACAACACAAACACTATCTTTCAACAGAATTTTTTTTGAAAATGTCACTTAGGTCGTTTCACCTTAGAACCACAATAATAACGAACAAACGAACCAGCTCTACACAGAACAATCCCCATTTTTTCCCCCAAGAGCAATCACTTCACAGCTACGTCAAGTGTAGAAGCTTATCAATCTCTTCCATCTATTATTCAGAAACACGACCTACCGCGTCAACCTTAAAAATCCTTTCGACATCACCCACAGTCTAATCGCGCATACGATCTCTCACCGAGCTCGATAGGTTCCCTTAAAAATGAAAGAAACGCTCGAAATCGATACGCTCACAGACGCGATAAACACAGTCGCAGCGTGTATAGAAGGGTCAACGACAGGGTGGGTGGAAAGTCGCCAGGAATAGAAACGCTCTACAACCAGTCAGCCGGCGTTACTTGGCAGTTTCTGAGATTACGAAGCTCCTCGGGGGCTCTGACAGCGGGTGGAAAGTCAGAATGTGGGTCAGCGACTGAGTGAACAGCCAGTGGGACACGAGATACGACGAGCCCTCGTTAGTAACACTGTACCCTGGTTGAGGTACCTTTCCAGTGCCCAAGGCAAGTGCGAGAGTGCAAGTGGAAGAAAGAACCGGAAAACAGATATCGGATTGAGCCTCGAAAAAAATTCAAAGGGTTAATCTGATCGTGTTTCCAGCATACGATACTTCCTTGCAATAAACATGGTTATTTTAATGGTATTTGTGAAATTTTGACAGTTATCTTCTTTTTTTTTTTTTGTTCGAAGGAATCTCAGTTTGATGAGAAGGAGGAGAGGAGAGAGTGTTGTTGGATCGATTGAAGTGATTAAAATTGGAAAAATTCGGTTCGATGGTAAAGGTTATGTTAGTACTGTGTGAGACTAAATTTTTCCAATTTTGGTCACTTTGCTTAATATTAATTTAATTTTAATATATTATTATAACTTTCAATATTAACCATAATTAATACTAACATAATTTTTCATAAAAATTGGAATAATGTTAAACTTATCGTCAATTGGAAGGGTACAATTTCTAAAGTTTCAATTGCTTGAGATTCGCGAATATAAAAGAGGATTAATCACTAAACCTAAATTTAAGAAATCCTCCACAATCCTTCGGTGCCTAATTTTTAGGAGAGTGCAGGCCATCCAAAGTATCAGGTAAAATATAGGTGCTCAGCGATTTTATTAAAAATAAATGCAGAATTTCGCAAAAAAAAAAAGAAGAAAAATAAACCATTCACCGATACACCTAATACATATTTTTAAATAATCGAAAATTCTCACCTTTACTGTCGAAAGGGATCATAGTGCACCGGTCATCAGCCGCGATGTCGCATTTGTAAACTGCGCCACCTCTGTAAACGTTCACGTCTGGAGTGTCGGCTTCCGGTGCACCCACAATCGCCCTGGAATCGTAAAAAAATCAGGTGGTTAAAAAAAAAAGAGGTTGGAAGGTAAAAATAAAACGCAGGTGAAGGTGTTGGTTAGGTTAGATTGGTCGTTAATGTTAGCAAATTATCGTTCGATATTCATTATCGCGTCATTAAGGAAAGACGACGATGCGAACGTATATGTATTTCCGAGATCGAGGTCAGTGGTCACAAGTTATTTTGAACAGTGGCGCAAGAGTGAGTAACTGATCCGACCAACCGACGAGTTATTAAACCAGGTAACACACTTGCTACCGCAATTTTTATCGACTCAATGGGATACGCCGATGCTGGATGCTAATTTTACTGTGTCAGAATGTTAAGACGAGTGTGTAGGGTTGTTTAATTAGAACGAGGTTGCTATCACGATTTTAATTCGTCGAGATAACACGGCGGTATCGAGTGGTAACTAATTTCAGTTTGTCAATATTTTCGATTCTTTGGAAAAAATTTATCAAGTTGTATTACAATTTCTATGTTAATACAATAATTACTCTAATTATTGTTTTTAAAATAATTACTTTTAGCATATTATTATAATTGAGATAAGGCAATCCTAATTGATAACTAATTTCTTGGTAACGAAGTGTCAAGGTGGAATGGAATTTTAAAAAATAAACTTGGAAATAATGGAATTTTAAGGAATACATTTACCGAATTAATACAATTTCACCAAAACGAGATTTGAAACCGGGTAATTGTAAATAAAGTGTCGTTAGAGTCTAGATGCAAAAAATTGCAGCAATTTAATGGTGGCCTCAGCACGATCAATTATTTTAATGACCACCGTCTTGTGTGCTAAGTCGACCATTATGTTTGTCGACTTAGAACTTAAGGTTTGTTCTACTTCTCTAATGAAGAACTCTTCGGTGTTAAATTGCTATTGGAATTATTCATGATATCCTTTAAGTAAAACTTCCATACCACGACCTTACACTATTTTTTTCAGAGGTGTCACAAGATCTTCAAAGAATTTTACTTATTTTGAGAATATTATACGAATATTGTATCTTGAGAATATTTTTGAAATTTATTTTGGTTAATTATCAAATTTAATTCAATTTAATAAACTTACTTCGAAATTAAATTTACGTTATAAATACCTGGTTAATATCAGCATAATAATTATAAAGCACTTATCAATCAAGACTATAATTCCATAATTTCACCATAATTTCAATTATCAACTTTGATATTAATTTAATTAATATCTGCACCGTAACATTTACTTAAGAGGAACATTACAGCAGCATATTACTAATTAACTCAATTATTCATAAGACATATGTGCATAATTAAATATTTCATTCTTGCATACTATTAGACTCTACTAAAAGCTTCATTAAAAACGCCTAATTCCTAATGTTCCGTGGCGAAGCACAATCATGGTGCTTTATCATTATACATATCGTTTCGCGGAGACGTAGGTGTGTGCGGACAATATGAAGATTACTAGCTATGGTAATAGATCGCATAATTATCTCGAAAGGGTGTGTCAGGATGGGGGTTATGCCTTGAAATCACCCTGACCTATTGCGTGATTAATGCTGCCTACATCCAGACTACGTGTATAGTCGGTGGAAGAAATATTGGTGGACTGATTTGTCGTCATTTCATAACTATAACACATCTTATTACGACAAAAATAAACTTAGAATACGATAAAACGAAATTATAACAATAATTGATCTAACTAGCACTGCGTAGGTCCTCCTCTATTTTCAATCAATTCAATTGTTCCATTGTGTACGTATATACACATACATGCATATTATACAATTACATTATTCACACATACCGTGAAACTGTAGCTACGTAGCTCGCAGGGACACGCTGGTCAATTTGTGAGGAATTAGTTCACACGAACGAGTACGCTAATTACGTAAATCGATACGAAATCCGCGTATAATCGAAACCGCGTTGTTCGAGGGAGCACTGTATTCTCTACGTGATCGTACTGAATAAGCGTCGTTTGCCAAGGCACTCGTTCGACAGCCTCGTAAACACTGACTGAGGACGTTTCGTCCTGCCCGATTTCTGCTCGCTGTTTACGCGCAGCTATCACCCTAACACGAATGATACGGGCCTCGATTTGCCTCTCGTTTCAAAACATCGCGTGAGGCTCGTGGTCTTTTTTTTTTGGCGAGCCAAACATAAGAAACGCTAGGCAGGGACGTTGTGTGTACATCGAGCCAAATACGAAGTTTAGGTGTCCTCTTGAGAGTGAAACTATCGCGAGCTGCTCGCGAATGGACACTGCGTCTGAGAGCATCGCTCAACTGTCTGAGAGTTGATGTATCGCGACTTGCTCCCGTATTGCCGTCGGACAGTTGATTTGCAAATAGAAAGCAGTTTCGTATTCTTGAGAGAACTCTCGTGCGAGTAAAAAATGTCGGGAAATGAAATTATCGATTTCGAGAAAAGTCGGTGTTGTGGAATACGAAAGATGTAACAGAGAAAAAATAGTATTGGAAGGAATTGCAGCAATTTTTCAGTCCGAGAGAGCACTGTATTTCTTTCACCGACTATACACTTTTAAACAGCACGGTAGAAAAACATGTGCTATTCTTCCCCCCTTGTAAATAATTAACATTCTTAAAATGCACGTACGACAAACCGCTGAGAGAAAAAGGTGATTTCCAAAGCATCGACCTTGTCGTTACATTCTGGTTTGCCTTGAACTTTTCTGACTGAAAGTCCTTTATTTTGCGAGTAATCGTGTGACAATTGCATTTCATTACAACGACAACTATTTGAATTTGGAATTTTCGGAATTTGGCAGAATGAGTAAAATATTCTTGGAAAAATTTTGGTAAAAAAATTATTGTAAAAGATTTGCTAGGTGTAGATAAACATTGTAGATGCAAAATATCTAATACGAGAATAAAATTTTTAGTTAAAAATCACCAATTCGACGAAATTCTTTTTACGAAGAGAATTACTGTATTTAACAATAAGAATTATATTAATTTGAAGTAAAAGTACCGATAGAAAAATCACTTTCGAATATTGCAGTTTTGCCCGAGGCTGATAAATGATGCATAGCGCTTTATCGCTGAACAATGGAAGAAACTAGCAGAGAAAACGGCCGTTTCGTTCAATTTCACTCGGAATAAAGACTTCTTTATTCTGGAAAAATGCAACGTCACGAATTACGTCAATTTAGAAAGTCTCCTCCAATAAATACATCGTTATATTTTGCACAAACTTTCATTAACGATTCTTCTTTGAAATGTAAAAGATATGAAAAGAATTCTTGGCCCACTGTTGAATACGTTTCATAAACGAGCAGTTGAAATGGCAAACGATGTACCAAAAATGGTATACCACAAGTAGAGTGTACAAATAAATAAATTTAAATAATTGGACATATTGTTTACCATTTATTTTCCCTTTAAATCTATAACAATGACAGAAAAACACATTTCTTTCGCTTAAACTGAAAATCTTCACTAATGGCACTTATGCCATTTACCATTTCAACTTCTCAAAAGTTATTATTCCAATAATCTTAGAAATTTTTCAAACCCACCC